GATAATAATAAAACATTTCCATTTTATGTAGAAAAAYAGTGTTTAATATGTAAATCAAACAGATTTATAAAGATTTGTATTTTTTATATTTTATTTATAAAGCACTAGATGAAATGTACTGAATTTATGTTTTTGTTTCTTTTCAAAGGAATGGCAGAAAAACTGAATCCTTTGTGGCAGCACTTCAGTCAGCCAACAGCAAGGCTCAGTGCAACATCTGCAATTTGCTGGTGAGCATGGGTGCAGATACAGGAAAAAAGAAAAACACTTCAAATATGTGGACTCATCTGAAGCGCCACCACCTTGAGGCCTTTAACGACACCCAAAAAAGAAAGGACGATCAAGCAGCTTCTTCTTCAAAAGAAAGCTCAAAACAACCCACAGTCATGCAGAYGTTTGATGCCAAAAGAAAATGGGCCAAGTCTGACTCTAGGTCAAAAAAAATCGATGCTGTGATAACTGAGATGATTGCCACAGACAATCAACCATTTACAGTTGTTTCTGATATTGGTTTTCAACGTTTAGTGGCATTGCTAGAGCCCAGATACACACTCAAAACGGAAAAGTACTATCGTACAGACCTCATGGATGAAGTTCACACTAAAGTAGTGAACAAAATCAAAGAGCTGGTCAAATTAGACAATGCAGGTCCCTATTTGTCATTTACAACTGATTGTTGGTCTGGGGAGACAGAATCCCTAATGAGCCTGACATGCCATTTCATTGACAGTGACTGGGAAAGGAAGCAAATCGTCCTCAATGTCAAAGCCATGCATGGCTCTCACACTGGTGAATATATCAGCGAAATGTTCCTCAGTTTGCTGAGRCATTGGGACATTGAGACAGAGAGAGTTATGCTTGTGCTTCGTGACAGTGGYGCCAACATGGTGAAAGGGTTGAGGATCATTGAAATACCTGATCTCAGCTGCAGTGCCCATACATTACAGCTTGTTGTAAATGAAGGAATCAACAGCCAGCGAGCGGTGGTGGACAGTGTAGCAAAGTTAAAATCATCTGCCTCCCATTTCAACCACTCTGTTCTRGCCAAACAACGTCTCACAGTGATTCAGAAAGATCTTGACCTCCCCCAGCACAGAATCATCCAGGCTGTACCAACACGCTGGAACTCAACTGTACATATGTTGGAGAGRATGCTGGAGCAGAAACGTGCTTTGAATGTGTATGCAGGTGACCATGGAAAGATTTCAACATTATCAGCTGATCAGTGGACTCTCGTTTCCAATCTGATTGCTACGCTGGGCCCACTTGAACAGGTGACATTGGAGATGAGCAAGTCAGATGCCTCCATCTCCTGCATCATCCCAAGCATTGCTGTGCTGAAGATGGCACTTGAGACAGAGGGTCCCAAAACAAAGGGAATCAAAACTGTCCGGGATACCATGCTGAAAAGCTTACAGAYRYGTTTCAAAAATGCTGAGMAGACCAAATGTTTGGTGCTGGCGACACTTCTGGATCCTCGGTATAAGGGGCATGCCTTAGCACAGGGTACACTAAGCAATGCAAAAGAATGGATAAAAGAAGAGRTTAGGAAACCAGCTGAGGCTGAAAACAGGTCCTCCTTGGAAGATGAAGTCCCAGATCAGAAACGCATAAGGGTGGAAGAAGAGGAGGAACCTGCTCCAACTGGCCTGATTGACCAAATGTATGCAAACCTTTTGGGGGCTCATGGTCAAACCTCTGAAGAGATTGATGAAGAGCAGCAAATCTCTCAGCAGCTGRACCAGTACCTACAGGAGCCACTGATTGACAGACAGACTGGTCAGCCACTGCAATGGTGGAAACAAAATGCAACTCGCCTGCACCTTCTGGCACCACTGGCAAGGAAGTTCCTCTCTCCACCTCCTTCTTCTGTTCCCAGTGAGAGGGTRTTCAGTGAGATTGGCCAGATTTACGATAAAAGGAGGAACAGGCTCACTGGAGAATATGCTGAGCGTCTCTGTTTCCTGCATTACAACCTGCAGTTCTTAAACTGGGACTATTAAGAACCTTTTGTGAAAGGTTGGTAGGGTAAAAAAAACACTCAGGTTCAGATTGTTCACATTTTTTTAAATTTATTTTTGTTATATTGCTGTTTACAAATGTTCTCAGGAAAGACATCTGCACTACAAGGACCTGGTGTAAAAAAACATTAAGGTTCAGATGGTTCTCATTTCTTTAAAAATATTTTTGTTACATTGCTCTTTACAAATGTTCCAAATTTTCCATGAAGGACATCTGCACTGAGGCCTCATGCTGCTACATAAAGAGCACAAATATTTAAGTGTTAAAATAGTTATTATATTTATGTTTATGTTTATATATATATAAATATATATATATAGTTTGCTATCCACTGTTAATGTTTTGTTTGTTTATTAATAAAAAATTTTACGTTGAGACCTGTGTAACATTTGTTATTGTTATCATTGTTAATGGAGGAAGAAAAGTTAGTATCGGCTTCAAGAATCGGCCCAAAAATATCGGCTGCTCGTATCGGTTAGACTGATTTTTAAAAAATCGGTATCGGCCTTCAAAAACCTGTATCGGTCGATCTCTAGTTAGAACAATGTCCCAGCGGTTCTTCACTTATCTGGAGAAGAACTTCTCTGTAAGCTTTATCGGCGCACGATGGGCTGGACGAGACGTGAAGACCACTTCCTGTCTGAGTCGCATCACAAACAGCAGCTGAGAGACGCTGCAAACTCTATAACAAAAGTAACGAGCTTTCTTACTATTCAGCTGGCAAGTGTGCACAAATTGTTGCTGTTTGTTGGGTTTATATTTCTTTATGGCATGTTTAATGTGAAATTCAATTCTAAAACTTTAATTTTCCAAAAGGATAACTTTATTAATGGGAGATTTTATGATTTACACAAATGTTTTTTTTTTTTCTTGGTAAATACCTTGCAAAAATAATTTCATGTTCTACTGAACCACAGCTACTTGTTATATTAGTGAAAGTGAAATAACAGCCATTTTTAAAAAAAAATTCTGCAGCTATTTATTTGTTAAATAATTTTTCAGTCACTTTTCAGGTTAACAAAAAAAATCATGATATTAATCGAGATCGGACAATATAAAAAAATTAATCGTGCTCTTTTTTTTTTTGCCATATCGCCCAGCCCTTCTTTCGAGATTTCCCCGTACTGCTTGAGATCGCACATAATGTTATTTACTGTGCAAGGTTTGACCAAAACAGCTAAAACTGACATTTAAAGCGGCGGGTGATATGCATTCGTTTGAGAAATACTGGGTCTTGAATTGAATCTTCTGTAACGACTCAGTCCACTCTGTGGAAACATTAAGTGGGACGTTACTGGGAGCCACTGTGCCAGTCCGTGGATGAATCATAGAACAGTCTCCGGCGTTGCACAGGACTGCGTTTGTTTCAGACGTTTCTGCCCCAGCTCACCCTGCTCCAATAACACACTCACTGTGGCGTGGCAGAGCACACACACATTCATGAACACACAAAAATGCAAGCATTCACTGTTTACACATGTGCAGCCATCCGAAGAAAGACAGACAATGTGTGCTCTTTTCGACAGAGGCGGTATCGTCTCAAGAGAATATGGCTGCCACAGCTAACTGAGCCCAACCTACACAAAAATGGCAACAATTCAGTTGATTTCATAGATATTGAGCTAAAATTTGATGTTGTACAGTCCTAAACATGTTCTGTATGTCAAGCACTAACTGATCATCTTGCAATATTCAGTATATCAAGACCAAACACAGCATGTTCTGCAGGATTTAACAAAGATGATCTTAACTTTAAACTCTAGCATGCATTATGCATTCCTTTAAGGAATGCATGGCTTTGAATTATTTACCAGTTGTCAGTAAACACAGATCTCATCATTTGTGAGAGTTTCGTAGTACAGGCTGAACTTGTGCAGCTGTGGTTGAGCTGCTGCTCTTCAGATTTCAAAGATAAGACTGTATCCAGCGCCGTTGCTGTTGCTGGTCTCAGATCTCGTGTCATCTTATCTAATCTGGCCACCAAGGACAACAACTCTGGATCTTTACTGGAAGTTCTGGAACACTGGTGAAAGGACAGATAAGCAAAAGGCAGAAAAGCGATTACGGGTTTGAAATTTGGCATTGAGGTCGAAAACTATAAAGTGAGCATATAAAACCTGATTTAGCAGCTACACTGAACACAGTCAAATTAGTTTATTTTATTAGAACTTTTTTTCAACCCATCTATCCATCCATCCTTTATCTGCCCCTTCATCCATTGGCAGGTCATGAGGCAGTATTTTGAGCGTGGAAACCCAGACACCTTTTCTGTGAACTTCTCTGTAAGAAAATGTTAGAATTGGGTGCCTGGATAACATGCAGAAAACAAAATAAGTTCTTGGATATATGTTTATTTTCAGATCTAAAGATTTCACCCTCAGAACCTGTGTGTGGCCCTGGAAATCTAAAACAAAATGGCCTCGAATCACACCTCATAATACTTATCAAAACACTGGCTATACACCCTGGGGGCGGTTTCTCTTACATCAGCATTGATGTGCGGAAATGTAAACAATTACATGTTTATCCCTTCTGGAGGAGGCACATACTTGTTGATTCTCTTAAAGTAAATGACTAAAACTGATCACAAAGTATACAATATAAGACTATCTTAAATCCTGTTAATCAGCCACAAAATATCCAACTTTTCCAATGAAGCAGCAATGTTTGAGCTGTCCCTCTGCAAATTACTTATTTTTTATTTATTCATTTTATTTCATTCATTAAAACAACAAAATTATATTAAAAACAAAGTAAATTTGTTACTAAATGAAAAAGATGCAGAAGAAAGAAAAAAATCTTATCTGCCCCTTATTAAAAAACAAACTTCAAACAAACAACTTAAACTTGATCTCCATACTTGAGAAAATTGAAAAAAAGGTTGAAATTATTTAAATAAATTAATCCCATCTGTGGTTTGATATAAAAAGGTTGATTAATGAAACAAATTTTCACTTTTTTAGATACTTTCTGGTGCTTTTGCTTTTAGTTCTTGTTGGTGTTTTTGCTGGGAATGTAAGAAGAAGCTCAACGGCTTTTAATAGCTGTAGTTTAGTGTAAAATATAAAAAAAAGTATGAAAATGCTTTTAGTTCATTCTTTTTTGCATTCCTTTTTAAAATTTTATCCCAAACCCTTGCAGCTTTGTTTACATAAGCATTAGATTAAATTAAGTTTCTGCATTGTGAAATATTCTGTCCTAATGTAAAAAATCAGATGTCTGCAGAGTTAAAGATGCTGCCCTCTAGTGGAAAATGTTAGATCTACTGAGGCTGAAATGACCTGAAGCAGATAACAGGACAAGAGTTTATAATAAATAGCAGGTCCATCAGAGCAGCATGGGCACACACTGCTCACACTGTGCTTTTTTTAGTCTACCAGATGAATGCTTCTCATTAATCATGGCTATTTGTCTTTAGTTGTAAGTCTAGAGGTCAGTGATTAAACGACGCTCTCTGCAACGTTGCCAAATCCTTCTCCGTTCCGCTCAGAGGATCAGAGGGAAAGCTGCGTTTCGTTGCCCCTCTGCTCTGCTTTTCATGGCTCTGATGTTGTCTGCCACCAAATCCCAGCTGAATAAAAGTCAGAAATTGAAGCGGCAAATTATGTTTTATGTATGTATGCTTGCACAATGAAAGCAAGCAGGAAAGTGGGCCAAGCATCAGACATAATGGCAACAAAGCAGCTTTTTACTTTTTCTGCTTTTTGACAGTGGCAGCCAACAAACCGGGCACAGATTTAATACGAGGGTTCAGTTAATGACAGAGGAAATGGAAAGAGATAACACAGAAATTGCATTACCTGACTGCACTATTCCTGGAGAGTACTTAACTATTCCCACTCATTGTGTTCTAGTGGAGAAACAGCACTTTAATGTGACGGCTTTATTATTTCATAAATGTACAAAAAATGAGCAACACAACATTCAAACCTGTAGAATTATAAATAGTTATCCAGATTGTTTGAATTGTTCAGAGGATACTAACTACAATGCTATCAGTTGCTTATTTCTGATACCAATTTTCTTTTTTTAATTTCCTTAATATTTGTTAGTGAATTGGTTTATAATGTCAAAACATTGTGCAGACTAATTAAAAATATTAACTTTAAAATAGTATTAAGAAAATGACTAAAACTAATTACATTTTTATTACAATCTGTATATTTTATAACCAATGCTGTTAATAAATGTAGATTACATTTAGTGTAGGAAAGTATTTGTGGATATGATAATGTAATTGCATGTGTCTGCGTTTGTGTTCATTTGTCTGTCTTTTAGCAAAAATATCTAATGAACACTGAGTGGATTTTGATCAAACTCTCAAAGGAATCTCTGGTTGCACATCTAAAACTAAACAACTTTGGGAGTCAATCTAATTAAAGTTGGTCACCACTGCTAATTGACTTTAGCAAACACAAACATGAGTAGAACTCTGTGAATTGGACAAATAGCAGCTAAAACTTGGTTTGGTAGTAGCTAAGAGTGATCTTCAACATATTTGCCAACCCCTAACTGATTGCACAAGATTAATGTTAGATTTTTAGGTATGAGGAGCAATGAATGTTACATGTTAAGGAGCTGATCAAGAAAAAGCTGTTCCAGGCTGACATTTTGCCACATAAGGTGTTTGTAATTTATGTAGAAGTGTATGTCATTTTTTGATTAAATGTTAACTCCCATCATATTAATCTTTTAACCCCTAACAATAATGCATTATGGACAGCATAGATTAATGGTTAATGCTGTTGCCTTATAGCCAGAAGGCATCTTGCCTCTTGTTTTATTTTACAGGAGTCACCTTGGCCCAGATTTAGCCACGCCTGTTGTGCGTCGGCAGCTCCCCCACCCTTTATTCTCTGTTATTCTTCCCTCATCTGTGCTGTAGATCTCTGAGATGACAAAGCAAAAATAGTCTGCATGATTAACAAAGTGAACCCAGACAGACACTAAAACCACAAAACCTAAAGTTACCACTGCAGAGTGAGAGTGTCAGCTCTGAATCACAGTTTCACTGTGGTGACATCATGTGTGAATCCTGTGGTGAGGATTGCTGCTATGCAATGTAATCTATCTACCAGCGATAAAATGGATTACAATCTATATAATCTGGTCCCGTTGGTTTACATCGGTCAATCATACAGAGTGAGACCCCATCTTCTGATTAAATGATGTGTGGTTGTGTATGTTGATATGCGACCGTATGTTTATGGGAGCCAAGCATGGCAGAAATCATTATAAGTCATGTTTTATGGCTTTGGGTGGGTTTTAAGAATATTAAAAGACAGGTCAGGATCAGCTCAATGGTCTCATTGGTTTT